ATACTTATAGAGACTTCAACTTTAAGAGAAAAATATCAATGTATAAGCTATTTATTCTCAGCAAAAAGTGTGGTTGTCGAAAAAGTGAAGACTATAACATGGACAGAAAGGTAATTTCTCACTGGTTTGATTTGCTTAACTTTTTGATTTTTTTTAAATTGTAAGAAATGAGTGCCTTCTTGCACCTATTGTACAATATACTATTATTGATTATAAAAAATACTAATAAACACATGAATTGCTGTTTAATTAATCTGTTTTATTTGATAACCAAATAATATCATACACATCGATATATTTTTGCTTTATACAGTAATACTCTTAATACAAAAATAACGAGTTTTGTTAAAGCCGATTTTGTTATTAATCTATAATCTAGGTATAAAACCTTGTTGGAAAGCACTTTAAATTGTTGATTTTATTGTTATAAAGTTATTCGTATTAACTGAAATTACGTTATTACCTTTATTATTATTTATTATATTATTTATAACATTTAATTTTCAAATCGATAATATCTGTCATACATATATGTGAATACTTCTGTGTTTATTGGATTTTATCAAAAATGGTTATCCTAAACTTATCTCTAATAAAATATGGTCTAACAAAGCTAGTCTACCAAATTGTCAAATTCCTTGTTGAACTTAATAGTCGAGGCAATTAAACACAAAAATACGCCTTACTATCGATTTTCCGCAAAGAAAGATGGATGTTAATGCGATTTTGGCCATTTGTTTCGTAATAGCCTTCACAAACTATGTAACCATATGTGATTTTAATGAAATGAAGAACTGCATTTGTGCAGTAGAAGAATGTTCTCCAAATGCATTTTTAAGTACAGTAGACTCGTGATTATCCGAGGTATTTGGAACCATGATTACCTCCGATACGGAAAAGATTAGGTTAACACCGAGCTTGGTTGTAATTGTAAAAAAACACGTAAATAACGATAACTATGGTTATTTTAATGACTAAAAACTAATACAGCACTGCAACACTGCACTACAACATTTACCTTATCAATATTACTGATTAAAAAAGTTTTGATTGATTTTTGCGTAAGATCCATTCCTCGTTTTCTCTACTGGCGACGATTCCTCTTGGTGCTCGATGTATTCGAGAGCTGATTCAAGGGCCTTCAATGCATTAAAATAAGAACTAAGTTGAGTTATCTCATCTGTATCTTCCTCTTAATGGTTGATGTTTAGAACTAGATCGACAATTGCTTTATATGTCATTTCCATGTCTTCATCCCATTCATCCAATCGATGACGTTTTGGTTTTCGATTAGTTGTTCAACTGGTAATAGATTGGCTAGGTTGGCTATGGTATCAGTTTTCATAGTTATTAGTTTCTTTTTGAAGCTCCAGTGTTTTGTTGTTTCGTTTTCTATCTGAAATAATTATTTTTTGATGTTTGAATAGTGGACAGTTTTACATCTTCCCATGCAAATGCAATCCAATAGCAAACATCTTCAACCGGGATCTTCTATCATGCGCCTATTACGGTCAGCACTTTATCCACCCTATTTAGCAGTACCTGAAAAGCCTCCGCCGATAATTACTCTTCATTGCTTCTATAACGCCTTGGTCTAGGGTTGGATGAAAGACGTCACATTGTGTGAAAGGAACACAGCTCTTACGTCACTACTAATCAATTCACTCTCGTCTGGGTGGATCGTGAGTTTTCCAACAATACCAGAGCTTTCGGAGGCAGATTTATGTTTTTTAGGTGAATGGTTTTTTAGATATCAATGACCGTTCAACGCAATGTATCTATGCATTGCGTTGGTTTTATAAGTTAAAATTATATAGGTAAGCAATTCACTTATATTTTTGAATCTTCCTATAGAATCAAAATAATTCTCTCTCCTGTTGCCGAAAAGAATGTAGCTTTAAATAATTTTTTAAATAATTTTAAAATGTTTGTCCTTGTTTAGTAAAGTGTTTGTACAATTTTACGTTTAATGTTTATTACATTCTGTGCTTGTTGGATAGCCCAAAACTGACGAAATGCCCCTGATGATGCTTTAGAAAAACGAAAGTAATTGGACAAGGTTTAATTAATAAAATTGTGCTCGATATCTGCCTTTAAGTTTACCAAAGTTCATTTATTCGAGCATTTAACCTTAAGTAAGTAAAACCAAGAGCACAGTTAAATTATAGAAGATTATATCTTCAATAGATTTTTCATCAATGTATGTCTTCGACAAGGACACATTCTACTATATTTCTTTAATTTAATTCTGGATATTATTTTAAGAGAAAGAGTTCAAGAGAGAACATTCACACTAGAAGATTCAATCTAATTCAATATTTAAAGTATAAGCAACTAAAAAAGCATAAGAACTATCCAAAATCTGTTTCTTTGTAAAAATGTGGTACACTACAGATCTGTTTGTCGTAAAAAATTTTTTTCTTCAAACGTCAAATAATGATGACATTACTTATCTAACTTGATCCTGTCAAAGTTTGATGTCTCCGCTGGCAGCAGTTTTTTCCCATTTCTTTACGGCGGAGGGAAAAATGTTGTCATGGCAACAATATGAAACATGTCACAAAGCAACAATACAAATGTCATTAACAACAATTAAACATCATTTTTATTTATAGTAATATTAAAAGTACAATTAGTTAATGAGGCATTTTCAAAATTGCAACCGTGGCAAAAATGTTCCCGACTCTTGATACGCATTGGTATTTGTTGATGATACTTTAATAATTGCAAACAACTGTCAAACAAATTGTAACAAGGGAGACGCAAATCCCACCGACGACTTAATTATTTTAATTTCTAACATCTAGACGACTTTGATAGTTTTCACAGTTAATTTCGAGTAAAAATAGCGTATGAATTGTACTATTTATGGTTGAAAATTGCTACGTTTGAAGAAAAAATAGTATACTTTATTCGGCAATGAAGCGACTTTTCTTCACTTGCCCTCTATTACGCGCCTCACTTCGTTCGGCGCGTAATATCGGGCGGCGTCAAGAAAAGTCATGCTTCTCCTCCTCATAAAGTAATTACTCTTTATCTTGATCTTCATATTTTTCTGAATTTCTACTTTGATTTTAATTCTATTTCTAATTGATAAGGTAAACAAGATACTGTATCTTGTTAGTAATTCTTGTATTTTGTAACATCTTTTTTTTGTATTTGGCACATGATTGTTTCTTTCCACTGTTTCTATTTTTTCTTGACTATTTCTCTTCAGTGCAACTCCGGCGGAGGTCGGCAATCATCATAGCTATTCGGACTTTTGAGACAGCTGCTCTGAAAAGTTCATTTGATCTCATGCTGCGCAATCCTTACCACTCTCTCAGGTTGCGCAGCCATGATATTCTACGCCTCCCTATGCTTTGACCTATACTTATGCTTACTTAAGTTTTAATTTTTCTTGCAGTTTTTCGTTAGACTTCTGCTGTAAAAAATTCTGCAATGTACCATTTTTCTGGTTACTCTATTATTTTGTAAATTTTTAATATATCTACAATTTCCTAGGTGCTATCCCTTTGAGTGGTATATTTTGGTTTATTTATTATTCATCTGACGGTGATATTTGGGGTATTCATCTTGTTCTTCTGTGGTTAATACATTTTTAAAATTTCTGGCCAACCTTTCCAATTTTTCACTCATTCTGTTGAATATGTATATATGTCTCCCTTTGTACTATCTTGATGAGGATTTGGATTCTGTTCTTTTATTTATTCGGAGCAATTCCTGACTTCTTTCTAAATTATATATAAACTATATAACAGAATATATCTGATTGTTATAAATAAACCTAAATAACTGTATATTAAATATTCTTGATTTTTTTACATATATCCTTTCCTCTTACATATATAGCGAGATCATTCGAGGAATTAAAAATTATGATGAAGGAACAGATCCCAATACGATTCTAGACGATCCCAGACGTTTAATTGTTAATGGCAGTGAGATAGAACAAGTCCAAGAATATATCTTCCTAGGCCAAATTCTGAAAGTTGACAAAGAAAAACCAAAATATGGAAATCACTAGAAGAGCAAAAGACCTGCGCATGGCAGGATTAGGAAAACTCAGTTGGATACTGAAGAACCGCAAAATACCTCAATACTTGAGACACAAAGTGTTCAACCAATGCAGCCTTTCTATCATGACACATGGATGTCAAACCTGGACACTAACCGAGGCAAATATGAAAAAACTAGCCTAAACAGAAAGGGAAACAGTTGAGGATACCACAATATCATGACAGATGTATGTCAAACCTGGACACTAACTAAGGAAAATATGAATAAACTAGCCACAACAAAAAGGGCAAAAGTTGAGGACACCACAACGAAAATTGCCAAACTCAACTGTAGGTCACAGTGCTAGACAAAAAGACCAACGTTGTAACGTCAAAATACAACATTGAAGACCTTACAAAGGTAGACGACCAAGAGGAAGACCACCGATGAGATGCGTGCCGGAATAGCCGGAACAAATTGAAAGTATGTTGCTCAAGATAGAGTTCGATGGAACGAGTTGGTAGAGGCCTATGTCCAAAAATGTACAAGAGAAGGCTAGGAGAAGAATAGTATCCTTTTTTCCTTTCTTTCTTTAAAAAATATTCCTTAAGTGTCTAAATATGTTACAGTCTTTATCATATTAGGGGTCTATTGGGGTCACCGCTTGTCCCTTGGCAGCCCTAATTAAACTATTTCTACATTTTTTATTTAACTATACCTTCTCGTTTGAGTTGACTTTTAATTTTTTCTTATTACTTTGTTTTGTAGTTATTGATATACACTGTATTAAGAAGTAAAATAAATGTTAATGAATAGGGAATTGTTAGATATTTTAAAATAGGTCAAAAACAACCTAATAATACTACAAATAAAATGTTATATATAATATAATATATATGTTTTCGGTCTCACTTCTAAATAATTTTAAATATTGTTCTTGTTCTAATATTCCATATATGCTATCAGTTATATAGCTTTCTTATAATTATTATCAATTTTAGATGCTGATACATTGAAAGGAGAATCTGTGAGCGAAGGAGAAATGATAGAAGAGTCGCTAGAAGACTCTTCAGATTCATCTAGACCAAGGAAAATAAGAAGATCTAGAACTACTTTTACGACTTTTCAATTACACCAACTTGAGAGAGCTTTCGAAAAAACACAGTATCCTGATGTTTTTACGAGAGAAGAATTAGCTATGCGGTTAGACCTTAGTGAAGCCAGGGTCCAGGTAATAATTCATTTTTATTTCTAACAGTATGTTTTTAAAAGATTTTTAATTTAGTATTATCATAGTAAGCAAATAATATATTCAATGGGTATTAATTACTTAACATATATATCTTGCTGTATTGGTAAACATTATTTCGCAATATAATGCATTTCACAATGCATGGGAACATGGAAATAGGTAATTTTGTCAGGTTTTATCATAATTACTTATGTAAATTATATCCATTAATTCCCTCGCTAAATTTAAGCGAATTGCTTAAGATTTGACTATCTCTTCCCCTGCTTAAATAGCTTAGTAAATGAACGTGAAATACGCCGATATCCTGTCACCACGACAGGGTTTTAGATTCTACTTATCCTCCACTTCACTTTTGTGCTTATGCCATTGGTTGCTTTTTATTTTTTAGGGGTAAAAACTACCCCTACTAAAAAATCATATGTTTGTAAATTAAAGCGTATAATTAATTCAAATCATCTTTTAATGAAGTAAATACTTGTTAATTAACATTAAACCACATTATTTAAGATAAATCAGAGATATGAATAAATGTAAGAAATATGATGTTTTAAGCATCCTTAATGATGCTGTTAATCCGCGATCAGTATCGCTGTTAGATGCTACATTAACATATTTTATTTTTCATGTAGATATTACTTCTCTTTGCGATATTTGGCATTTGGCTAGCCATACCCCACTACACTCAGATAAGAAATTGAGGAGGGTGACTCATAAATGTAATATCATTACTAACTATACGAGATGAAAATCAAAGAATTATAAGAAAATCGAAGTATCTCGGTTCACAACAATTGGATAGCTCATGGGCGCCGCCAGAATTATTTTCAGGGAGGTTCATCTACATATACACATACTATTCACCAATATAAGATATAGAACGTATACTTTCTTTTCGAACAGGAGGGGCCTATAATTATCGCGTGAGTGGACGCGTGGTGCAAATATGCTACAGCAGCAAATTAAAGTTCTAGAACTGTTTAAATGGCTTATAAGTAAATAAAGTTTTAGGAAATTGTTTTAAATATTTATTAAACGTATATTTTACATAGCAAACAAATAAACAAACACTGTAAACATAAAAAGTTAGTCACTTTCATCAGATTCCACTAAATTGGTTTTACAACGGTGACAGGTAATCGTAGTTTCACTATGCTTTTGACAGACAAAATTATCACATTTGTCACACAATTGTGACGTAAATTTATTTTTCTGTCTTCCACATATGGCGCAGGGTCCTCGCTTTTTTTCTTGGTACATCATGTTTTTGTGCCTCTTCTTTAGGTTTGTAAGTCGTTAAAAATAACTGAATATCTGAAGGTAACGACGACATTTTAGACCTTTTCTCTAAGTGAGATTTCATAAGTTGAAATGATAAATTTTTAAGAAAAATTCTCCTTGGCCTCTTTGCGTTGTTTTGGTTACTGTTATATAAAATCTGGGCATTTATTCCAGCAACATTGAAAAGAGCATAAAATAATGCTAAGGCCACCTTCTGGTGTTTCGCGAAACATAATATCCCCACATAATTGGTCGACTGTATCGACGCCACCCTTGGTCTTATTGTAGTCAAGAATTATCTCGAGCTTTCCAGTTTTTTCGTCAATTTTTCCATCATCATGCATAGCAGAAAGTAATACTGCAGATTTTGACTTTTTTGGAACGTAAGACACCTTACACACCTCTTTTTGAAAACCATGGCACGAAGATCCAATTGCACGATCTTTGTGGGGCAAAAACTCAGGAGGTACCAATGGTTGTAATTTTTTGTTTCAAAAGTGAACATGCCAAAGGATAGCTCGTGTACTAATTATCGGTGGTCAGATTTCTATTAGTACCTTTTATATGCGCTACTAGTCTGTTTACTATATCAGATGGAGAGTTAGATTTACAGTAGAGCCCCTCAGGCTGTTTGCCAGAGTAAACTTCAAAAGCACTGGTATAACAAGTTTCGGCATCGCAAAGCGCAAACATTTTTAAACCGTATTTGGCCGGTTTATTCGGGATATATTGGATAAAGCTGCATCGTCCTCTAAAAGGTTCCAGTTTTTCATCTATGGTTACATAGTAACTGTGATTATAATATTTCTTACAGTTGTCTTGAAACTTGTCTAAAAATACTCTAATTGCCGCCAGTTTATCCAATTTTTTATTTTGTTCTCGTGTTTCTTTATCGCCAAACCTTATACATCGCAGCAATAATTGAACCCGCCTATAGCTCATGCAGGCCCTCAAAATTGGCAAACCTGTTCCGCAATTTGTCCACAGTTCCTCGACATTAGTCCCACTTCCTTTTTTAGTACCAATTAGAAACAATAATCCAAACAAAGCCATCATTTCAGATTTACTTGTAACTTTAACTGCTCTTTCTCTGCTATAATTAACCCCCTTTCTATTTTTTTTCAATATACAGATTTGTAAATGCACGATATCATTTATAATGCTATTATCAATTAATTTCAAGAAAGCCTCAATCTCGGTGGGAACGTTTTTTGCATTCCCTTTCCTACCAGGATTCGTTTTTAAAAGATTTTTTGAACTGGTCTTGGAAGTTTGTGAATGGTAACTAGTTTTCCTCCATTTGGTTTTCTTGTTTCTACCGGTATAAAAGTTATTACCGATTTCGCCAGGCAAAATCTACTTTCATATCAGAACCGGAGTCACTAGCATAAACAGCCTCATTTTCCTCAATGTATTCAAACTCTATCTCTGAACCTGAATTATGGTCTTCTTTGGTTACAATCTCCCCGTCTTCTTCGCTCCATTCTCCGTCATCTGAGTCATTAATTTCTTCTATATCAGACATATCTTCTAAAATTTTTCGAAGCTCTTCCTCCGTAAGTCCTTTTGCCCTAAAATAGAGTAAAATGTAAGTTTTGGCAACGCTGTAATACAAAGAAACTGATAAACGACATTTTTTTAGCAATCCAAAATTAGTAGTAGCAGAAAAAAGTATTATTATAAAGAAAAAATAAAAAGTTAATTCACTTACATGACTGGACGCGTGGTTAGCAAAAATGATCCAGTTAAATTTAAGTTGTCGTAGACAAAGACGTTAACGAAATTAAATTGCACAAATTCAACAACACTTCCTCGTCGATTTTATAGGAAGATACTGAGAGGTATAAAAATAAATAACCCAATAGTCACGCGCCAATCACTCATAAAGTAATATTGGTAGCACTATTTAATACCAGCGCTTCCACTCGATGGTTAACTGTGTCCTTTTGTCTTTTGAGTTTTAATATATAAAAATAATAATATAAGATCACTAAGTGGTAAAAAAATACTATGTGCTGGACTATAATACAAATGAACTATTGGTGATGCAATCAGTTGCTTTAATCTAATAGGGTATATATAAAATATTACTCCAGCTCGGTGGCGCCACAAGATCATATGATTTCGGATCTCCTTCCAGATGGTCTCGATAGGAGTTGAGGGATGTTTGGAGGTAACATAGTTATACCAGAACTCTCTTTTGCTTTTTTAAATTAGATACCGAGTTTTTGCACTACGCTTTTTATTATAATTTTGCTAATAAATGTTTTTTAATTTAAATAACTTCCAAACATTGGCGAGGTTGCAGTCAATAGGCCTAGTGATTAAAACACTAAAATATGAAGATTCTTTTAGTAACGAGTTTCTTATGTTAGCCCATTTTGTGGGAATTTCTTCAATATTTTTGAAAATATTTAAAATAGACCATGCACAGACAAATATGAATTAACTTTAAATGAGTTCCTTTATAAATTGTTTTATATTCATGACAAATAGCTCTTGTATATTTCTCTAAAGTTTTGTCAGACTCTTTTTCTATCAGACTTTTATTTTCAGTTTTTTTTTTGTATTTTAGCAATAAGGAAGACATCTTTACATTTTAACAATATTTCTTCATTATAGTCATTAGAATTTGTTTAGGAACACTTAAAGTTTTTTACGCTTTAGATTTTTCGTTGGATGTTATAGTTCAAAGGAAGCCCAACTTATAATTAAGAATGTAACTTTAATAACTACCAACAACTACAAACTTGATATAGTCTATTAAATACTTCAAAAGTTCGGCAACACATGCGTTTAACTAAAAATTGAGCTAAAAGTTTTTGTCCTCATACATAAAAGCAACCTCCACGTGCTGTAAGGTATTTAATTAGAAATGATTGAATAATTACCTTTAATTATCAAAAGTGTCTGAAATGTTAAGAATCGGTACGCGATATACAAAAAGGGTAATTGAATAATTAAAAAAGTAGTCCTTGTTGTAATTTCGCAACCCTTTGATACAGTAAGAGATTAAGTGTTCTTGTGATTTCAACGACGTTTTGTTCTATTTTAATACACTGACAAAAATAATTCACCAAAAGAATAATCTTGCATATGTAGACAATATGAGGCTTGCCAAATGTGAATAAAGAAACTGATAAAAAATTATTTTTATAATAACACTAAATAATCAATAACTATATAAATTTAAAAATAGACCAAAAACATGAACAGAATTCCAAATCAAAACTGAAATGGAAAGGTGAATTCGGTTTGTCTTCATCTTTAAAGTGCTCCTTACTTCTTCCGGTTTTTAACTAGTCATACTATTACATCTTATCCCTCAGTGTGTTATAAATATGTATATATTTCGGTGCGAAATCTTTCTTTTTCTCAAGCTCGGTTCACAACAATTTGATAGCTCATATATTTCGGTGCGAAATCTTTGTTTTTAAACACCTTATTATTAATTCTTCTTTTTCTGCACTTTAAGGTTAGGCTTACAGCATGTTCCATCTTCTTTCTGGCCATCTTCTGGTGCTACCCATGTCTCTTCTTCCTCGTGGTCCTTAGTTACCTACATAGTGAATAGGGTCGGTGAAAAACTGCACCCTTGTCTCATATCCTGTCTTAATTTTTATTGGTTTTGTAGTGACTTTTTCAATATTTATTATTATTTTTGTTTTGCAATATAATATTTTTATCACTTATATAAGATA